CCACTAAAACCAAGGCTACGCTTATGCAGTCCCTTATCGATTAAGGGTTACTCCCTTAATCGATTATGGTGATGTGTGTTATCTTGACCTGAATGCAGACCTCCTCAATAAACTAGACCGACTTCTTAATAACTGCATTCGATTTGTTTTTAATCTTCGCAAGTATGACCATGTGTCTGCTTTACGTTCCCAACTGAAATGGCTCCCGATTCGTCAACGCCGCAGTCTGCGCGCACTAACATATCTTTTTTCTTTTCTTAATTCCCCATCGGTACCTGAGTACCTGGTTCCCCATCTCCGCCTCCTTTGCTCCAATCACGACCGAAATCTTCGATCAACAAATAATATGCTTCTTCTTTGCCCCCCTCACACTTCCAACTTCATCAATTCTTCCTTCTATGTACAGTCAGTTCTTCTCTGGAATGCGCTCCCAGTTGAAATTAGGATGTCCACTAACCGGTTTACGTTCAAGAAGAAAGTACAAGAACTTCTACAAAATAAGTTGGCAGAAAGGTCACATCGCTAGTACCCGACTATGTGTTTTGATATTTATGTATTTATAAATGTGTATATTCATCCATTGTATGTGTATACTTGAGACCTCTATGTATATATGTAGTTATGAATATAGTATTTTATTTATAGTATTTATAGTAGTAGTGTATATATGTAAGTTAGATTTATCCTACATTAATAAGTTTAATATAAACAAGTCAAATTCTCTGTTTTCTCTTGCACCTACAGCTTCATTTTTCTACATCACCCGAAGGTCGACTGGCAGAGAATGCCTTGGGCATTAAGTCCGCCTTTGTACAACTAGTGCATTAAGTTAAATAAATAAAGAAAATAATTTACACCCAGACACAGAATAAATGACCGTGCTCATCACACAATATTTGCCCTGGGTGGGCATCGAACCTAACCTCCGGCTTAGCAGTCAGATTCACAAAAATAAACTCACTTTAAAATAAGCATAGTTACATTGTTGTTTATGCTCTGTATAAACAACAATGTAATTGTTACTTCATCATCATCATCATCAACAGCCCTTAATAGTCCACTGCTGGACATAAGCCTCTCCTTAGAAAGGAGGTTTGAGGTTTTTTAGGAATTGTTACTTGTGTTTAAAATATTAACCACGACTGAATATAGTAACTATCACACAATGCTGTTCTTATTATGGCTACTGTTCTCCAATAGTATCACTACGGCCCATATGGGCTCCATTAGTATGGCTCTCCCACTCTTATAAAATAAATAACTTTTAGTTATTTTAGTTATTTTTTTTACTTATCTTTAAAAATAGATCTAAAGACATCTAGATTTTAAGCTAGGATGCTGGAATTATGCATTCGAACAGTCATTGCCATTGGCAATAGGACTTTTGTTTTTAAAGTTACCTATAATGTTTTCCCTCTTTTACCTACCTATAATTTTTCTATAAACCTTAAGATTCCAAACCTATAATCCTCGCTTAATAAATTTAACATTAATAAAGGGCTTTTAATAAATAGATAAACAAAATGTAAATACAACCTTCCGTTGACTACGAACTCGTCCCGTTAGACGCAAAATTATTGGTAACGCATAGCAAAGTTAATTGATTGCGTTGAATATCGACAAGAAAGCGTTCGCCAATGATACATCATGTTGTGTCAAAACAGGCCGGTGAACGATTAATCATCGTGCGAATGAGACGCACGTGCGACTAATCTTACGCTGTGTCGGCTGCATAAACATGGTTCACGTGATGTGTAAGTTGAAAGTAGATTATAGGTCTTAATCATTACGATGTAAGGAAGAAATTGAAATGGGTTACGTCGCAGTGGTGACTGTGCTGTCTCTTAGTGATATGTGTATTCATTTTCACGTTTGCAATACTGCCCGCGCTACAGTCCTTAAGACTAATCGTAAGGGTGATGAGAACCAATCCCATTTACCAAAATCAACTCTCTTATTTTTGTAATATATTTTCAACCTTTTCATTATACTTCTAGTACAAGATAGATTTATACATATAATGTGAAGAACTGTGTTAAATGTAACAACAAATGAAATGACATCAAATATTTTTATTTTTTCAATAGAATAACACCTTTAGCATTAATTTGTGATTGGAGCCTCTTTTTAAGCAAACAATGCCTGTGTAAGAACACTCCGCTCTTCCATAACTAAATGTTAATTATACTAATATGTGTCTATGTGCTGTGTACGTATTGTGTATGCGTGTGATGTGTGCGTGTGTGTGTGTTGGTGGGTTTGGGTTAGTTATTGTCTTGTAAGTATGTTTCAGTGACGTACAAATGCAAAAGATCAAAGAAATTCTGCCATTTCGTGTGATCATCACACACATCACACAGTTTCAAACGATCTTTGGTACGCGGTTGGTACTGCCCATTAACCTAGTAAAAATAGACCTGAAAAGGCAGTGTTTGTGCATCATATATTATGTGATCTCTACTCTTTAACTATCTAGTGTTTAGTATTCAAAGTTTATCAGAAACCTCAGAATTTATGTTTCGGGCGGTATAAATGGGTAACATTCTATGCTCCTTGCATTATACAAGTATTTATTTATTTATTTTATTATATTGTGTGTATGTATGTTGTATTCCTATATTAAGTTTTATGTTACATGAAAGTACAAAAAAGTAATGTACAAAACATATTTGTACAATGAATGTACTGACCTATATATGTAGATATTATATATGACGAAGTTGTCACATATTTTCCTTTCACCCTTATCTATAAACTTTATCCGTAGTCGAATATTTCCTCATAAATATTTATCACTATAAGTATCTGAAATAACCAGAGTTTTCGAGAGTTGCTTGTTTGAAACTGGTGCGTTGTAAGCAACCAGATGACATTGATTATGGCTATATGATATATCCATATCCATAGCGTAGTGGTTTAAGCGGTCGCTACGCCGCTGCCTACTACGCCGAGTGTTGTGGGTTCAAACATTGGACATGGGACGACACTTTGTGTGATCCACCAATTGTTGCTCTGAGTCTGGGTGTTCTTTGTGTCCGTTTCATGTATGTTTGTGAAGTCCCCCGCGACTCAGAAATATATTCCTAATGCAGGTCTTTTTAAAAAGAAAAATATTATAAATGCGAAAGTGTGTCTGTTTATGTGTCTGTCTGTTACCTCTTCACGCTTAAACAGCTGAATCAAGTTATATAAAATTTGGTACAGACATAGTTTGAGTCCCAGGAAAGGACATAGCATAGTTTTTATGCCAGAAATAATCCTTTAAGGGGTGAAAAGGTGGTAGGAAGTTTGTATGGGAATCAAAAACAGCTGAACCGATTTAGATTAAATTGGTATGGAGATAGTTTGATTCTTGAAAAAGAACATAGGCTACTATTTACACGGAAATACACGCGGGTGGAGCCGAGGCTAAAAACTAGTTGGCCTATAAAAAGAAGAATGTACATTTATGAAGATACACAAACCTTGACTCGTTAGTAAAGGCAGAACATTTTTTTTTTCAAGTCGACAATCTGCCCTTTAAAAAAAAAAAATTATCGTGGAATAGACATACTTCAGCACATACTGCAGTCTCAGGAATAATAATAATAATATTTTCGTACATTTCACACACGGGTCCCAAACTAGGCAGAGCCTGTACTGTGGTAACCAGACTGCTGATAAACTTACTTATATATTTCTAAATACATACATATTATAGATAAAGTACACCCAGACACAGAACAAATGACCGTGCTCATCACACAATTATTTGTCCTGGGTGGGAATCGAACCCACGACCTCTGGCTTAGCAGTCAGGGTCACTAACCACTAGACCAATAGGCCAGTCTGAATGAGAATGATGTAACTCGTCGAGCATGGTGACGTACCCATATGTCCGTCTTGTACTTTGATACGCCACTAGAATGGGAACATAAATTATTGGTATTATATAGATCAAAAGTACAAAGTATGGTCAATAATACTGTAGACTCTTTAGAATACATATAGTATGTACCTTTTGTATTTAAAACTCCGGTTTTTTTTAATAAATATTTTTGTTTTATTTTATTATGCAAGTATATATATTGACTGCACGGATGGCGTAGTGGTTTAAGTGGTCGCCACGCCGCTTCCTACTACGCCGAGTATTGTGGGTTTAAACTCCACATGGGACGACACTTTGTGTGATCCACAAATTGTTGTTCTGAGTCTGGGTGTTCTTTGTTTCATGTGTTTCTAAAGGATATATTCCTAATGCGGGAGTTGTCTTCTAATAGAAATAGAAAATAGAATATGTATAAACTCGAATGTAAGTACAACTTTTTTGTAATATCCTTATTTCAACAACTATACATATTTTCCACGTAACAGAGCTGAACCTTTTGCGTATAATAGCAGCACGTACTGCTATGATGAGCATGCATGCGAGCTAAACATTTCCTGACACAAAAACTTATTAAAAATTCGTGCGTCCCGGGAATCGCATTTCATGATAGCACATTTATAGACCCATAGAAATAATAAGGCATGTGATTCAATTAATTTTATATTATTAAACATTTATACAGGAAAATGTGTACTTATTATATATTTCTTCATTGAGGCTCTAAGTGCCTACTTATCTGTATAAAAATAAGCGTGTTAATTACATTAAGATTTTTTTTGATAAAGAAAAATTAGTTTTCAAACAAAGACAATTTGCTTATTGGAAGCAACTACTACTTACTGTTAAATATTCGCAATTTCCCTTTCTAACATCTCCCCTTATGGAGATCAGAAGACACTAATAAAACTTGTTTAATGCACATAATGTATATTGTCTACCTAATTATAATTAAGAAAAGAATATAACTAACCAATTGTTGCAACAAATTTAACGCTTTAAGTTGTATTCACAGACATTGAGATCGGAATTTTTCTCTTTGCATCACCAACCTCTAACATAATTCACAGCCATACTGTCTTGCACAAGTAGCGCAAACTCTATTCTAAAATCAAATGTGTATTTTTTCCAATAGTGCCGATGGTGAGTACGTGGTTACTACGATGACGAAAGCAGTACTACATCATTCAGGCAAGGTGCTGTGGACTCCTCCTGCCATCTTCAAATCCTCCTGCGAGATTGATGTTCGATATTTTCCTTTTGACCAACAAACTTGCTTTTTGAAATTCGGATCTTGGAGCTATGACGGTGATCAGGTATGTACTATGAAACGCTCTTTCGCCATTTTTTCATTTGTAACATCTTTCGTCTCACTTGCCCGCAATTTGACTGCACGTCGTAGTGGTTTAAGCGGTCACATCGCCGCTTTCTACTGCGTTAAGTGTTTTGTGGTCGATCCCCACAAGGGACAACACTTTGTGTGATCAACAAATTGTTGTTCTGAGTCTGGGTGTTCTTTGTGTTCATTTAATATTGCTCTCTACAGTCCCTCGCAACACAAGATATATTCCTAGTGCGGGAGTTGTCTTTTTATTTATTTCTTTCTTTAAATCTGTGACAGTCATTTTGTAGGACGGGAATATGTGGTAGGAAGCCCAATAAGCGCATACTACTTGATTTATTTAATGACCGCGCGGTGCTAGTTGGCCGTCAGACGTGATGACATTATGAGACTCGCTAGTTTTTCTTTAATAAGAGATTACCATCCATTAATATAATTTTTCTTTTTCACAGATCGATTTAAAGCACATAAACCAGAAAAAAGGTGACATGGTAGATGTGGGTATTGACCTTCGAGAATACTACCCGTCAGTCGAATGGGATATCTTAGGAGTACCAGCAGAAAGACATGAGCGATACTACCCTTGTTGTCAGGAACCTTACCCAGGTGAGAACATTAAATAAGGGACTTGTTTTATTGTATCTAGGACGTATTTCTCCTTAGAAACACTTAATCATATCAGACATCGTAGAGGATACAATGAATCAAGATAATAGGTATATGTACCATACAATCAGCACCACTATTTAAAGGTAGTTTTAAAAAAATTATAACAATGTTTTTCATCCCTTTAAATAAAGAGTATTTACTGTGAGTTAGAAACGCTACTACCAAAAATAACGAAGTTCCATATTAATTTCAAACCCTCATTTTGCACCCTTACTGGTGGAATTTTTAAAAATCCTTTCTGAGTGGCTAAGTCACCCAAGGAACATTTGTGCAAAATTTCCTTTTTCCATATCCAGCGGTCAACGCACAGATGGTGCGTTGATCTATCAGTCAGTGAATTAGTCTGTCAGTTTCTTCTTTTATAGACATTGATATAACATTTGTCGAATTCCAATATATCATACTGATATTTTTTTCTTGTGATATTTTTTGATTGATGAGGCAATTAAGATCAAGTAAAGCTTCTTAGAAACACCAAAAGATTAATTCAATTAGATACAGTTCGTTCCTTATCTTTGTATGTTACTGTTACTATCTTGTGTGATCACCATTTAAATGTTTTTTAGTGTTATCATACTGCAATTATTATGTAGGTACGATTATATAACATATAAAATACATATGACTTTGCAAAAAATATGTGATTTTGACTACGTTTATTTGGATATTTTTAAATTAGACAGTTATCAAAATATGTTTAAAAAATTGTAACGGTTACGGTACATATTAAAACTGCTCTTACTGTTTGGGATATCCTAGAAATGTTTTAGAAAATATTTTTTCACTAATGCTGACAATGACATGAAATTGAACAATTCACTTTGTCGTATACTTCGATCGATCTCGTTTTACCGTATAATAATTCTAGCTACTTGGTTTGCATAGAAATTGAAAATATTTGTAAAGTCCTAATTACATTAAGGAACTGTTTTATTTACATCATGCTGCTATCAGTGGTATCAGACGCGTAGTACTCGATCATTATTCTGTTGAGGAGTTATTTTAAAACTATGACATCTAGTAAGATTTTTTTTTTTAAATAAAATTATATAAAAGGCAACTGTAGGAATATTGTATTTATTTGATTAAGGATTAATATTATGTTTATAAAAGCAGATAATGTATTATTTTAGAACAAATTTGATTACGATAAAAAATTTATCGTAAGCCAACCTTAACAGATAGATGGATGCTGTCGCGGACTTTTTTTAGAAATTTCAGAGGGGAACAATTCTGTCGTTCATGATTTTTGCAAAACTTTAACCGTTTACGCAGAGCACGCAACGGAAGCTCTAAAAAGTGCACGGATGGCGTAGTGGTTAAAGCGGTCACCTCGCGGCTTCCTATTGCGCTGAGTGTTGTGGGTTCGATCCCCACATGGGACAACACTTGGTGTGATCCACATATCTAGGTGTCCTTTGTGTCCGTTTCATGTTTGTTTGGAAAGTCCCCCGCGACACAGGATTTAATCCCAGTGCGGGAGTTGTCTTTAAAAAGAAAAGTAATAATTTTTCCCCGTTTTAGTTATATTTTTCATTGATACTCCGTTCCTATTTGTTGTAGCTTGATAGTATATAATCTATAGCCTTATAAATGGGCTATCTAACACTAAAATATTTTTTCAAATTGAAGGCGTAGTAACTCTTCAGCTTTATAATTTTAGCAAAGATACTTACATCGTAGAAATTGTAATAATCATATTAAAAAAAACAGAAACGCAGTTATAGCAGTAACATAATATAACACAAGCGGCGGTAGCCTAGTGGTTAAGGCATTGGACTTGCGATCAAGAGGTCGTGGGTTCGAATCCGGACTAGTACACTACCGAAGTGAACCCACTCCTAATACAAGCAAGTTAGCTTAGCTGGAGGGGGTAATGGGAATACTAGTAATTTCGGTTGCTAGTAAGCCTTTAAAAACAAAAGTGTCTGTAGGGAAAAGACCATATAGCAACTGCAAGGATGGGTATGCGAACTCGAAACAATTTGATACAAAAAACATTTTAATACAAAACTAATCAAAACAACTCAACAAATTACTAACTTCGAACGTATAATATATTTACAAACTTGCAAATAATGTTGAGCAAGTTCTGCACAACGTTATTTCTCCTATGAATACAAGTTTTTAGAAGTGTTACATGAGTTTATTAAAGGCTTTTAAAGTGTGTATTGCCTTGAGACCAGCTGTAGTTCAATATACGAGTGCTCGTTAGATCAGTGATTTGTAGTCTTCTTATTGTGTCTTTTATGTAAAGACAGCTCTTTGTATCGTACCAATCGCTACTTTTACTAATAATATTTTGCCTTGTTCTCTATGTTTAATGTGTTATTAATTTAATATGGCTTCCTTTAAATTACTCTTTTTTGAATCAACACTAAAAAAAAATAAGCATTAGGACAGGGTTATACTTTTGTTCTAAGTAAAACCAAAACTTATGGTTTATTTTCTAAATTTAAAATGATTTACTATTCTTATGATGGTGATCTAAATAAATGTCTTAAAATGCCATAATTTAGCTCAACAAAACGATATGGCAAAATAAAATGATTTTAAATAATTATGAAATAATTATTTTAAATTATGAAATCAATAAGAAAATTTTCAGAAATGTAATGAAACATAAAATTTATTAAAACTAATATTTCCCGATTTCCCCTGCCGTAGTCTGTATTACTATTGTGTTTTCTTGTGATTATAATAATTGAACTAACTCATACGCGGCCGTCTAATCCCAAACTAGGCAGAGCCTGTACGTGCCTGTACTATAGTAACCAAGCTACTGATATAATCATACTTATTGGAACGAAGTTCCTTATCGCGCGTTACCGAGACCGAAAAATGTGTAACAAGACTTTTTCCCGACACTTCTTGCTGTAGGTACAGCCTCCCGCGCGCCGAAATAACTCGATTCAGTCATCAGATCGAAGATCATTTAATATTTAATTTATCATTATTTATTGTGTACATAATAAAAATATTAGAGAACGAAGTCCGTTGTCGCGCGTTACACGCTCTCAGCTGGTGGGAGCGAGACCGAAAAATGTGTAACAAGACTTTTTTCCGACTTCTTACTGTGGTAGTCTCCTGCGCGCTGAAATAACTCGATTCAGTCATCAGATCGAAGATCACTTAGTGTTTAATGCATCATTATTTATTTTATACACAATAAAAATATTTTGGAGTGAAGTTCCTTATCGCGCTTTATACGCTCTCAGCTGATGGGAGCAAGATCGGAAAATTACACCTAGACAAATAACAAATGATTGTTCTTATACTTAGTGGGAATCAACCTCTAAATCAGCAGTCAGAATCACTAACCAGGCAAAGTATATATAAATTATCAATCCGGCCAAAATCTAAACTTGAATAGGCCAATCTAAATTGGTTATCTAAGTACATAAAGGACAGGGCGATAAAATCGTCCCATTTTTTATTTTACTGCTCAGCCACAGCGTATCAAGATCTCAGCGTCACACAAGCAAATCTTAACTTTAAGACAATCTCTTGAGACAAGGCAATCCTTTTATTTCCTTTGAACCACACTAAGCTAATCTGGGAACGTTGTAAATTACGGCATAACGACGAAAACTCTTATCTATGCAAAATTAGTGAGTTTTACTACCGCCTCGAACAGGTTAAACTGTTGTTTTGGTAATACCCGAGATGCCGCGTGAATGCTGATCGTGGTTCGAGCGGCTAATTTGTCATCTTCGTACTCCGACGTTGTTTGGGTAGCAGTATTTAATATTTTGATAAGGCAAGAACATTAAAGTTTATATTTATTTTACTATGCTTTAAATCAAAGAGAAAGTAATAAGTAAAAGTTCCCATTATACATTTTTAGAGAAGCTTATTTTTTTGTTGGTACAATTGTTTTTTTTTGGAAACTTATATACTTTTATTTTAAATGTGAAAGTGAGTTTCTTTGTTTGTCTGTTTTTTTGTTACTCACACACACGTTACGTTCGCACCTAAACAACTAAACCGATTTTAAAAATTATTTCACCAATACAAAGCGCCATTATCAGCGAGTAGCATACTCGCTGATAATGGCATCAGTTTTACATGAAATTTTAAATTTATAAAAATTGATAAAAAAATGTTTTGACGTGCGCGAAACTAAATTTTTCTAGTTCAAGTAGTTCAGTAGGTACAAAAACTTAAGTATTTCAAAATTCACCTCCTTCTGTATACGAAATATTCTTAAAAATAACTAACAGAAATTCTCTTGAGGAATCAAAATATAAAAACAAATAAAATTCATTTGTTAAAGATTTAATACTGATTTTTGTTATAGGCTTTGTTATATAATACTTTAAAAAAAAAGAAAAAAAGTTTTAAATGAATTATAACTAACTTGCAAAAGTCTCACTTACAAAAAAAAATATAAATAGCGACTCACAATCATCCTATAGATTGTTTTTTCATTCTAACATCAATCGATCAGTATTACATATAGTTATAACCGAGAGTTTTCTTTATTTTGACTTAAACTGAGAATTATCAGGCTCCAGGACTCGGTGTATGAGAAATCTTGGGTTTCCTGTCAGATAAGTGTGGCTTCCAACTAAATGGCACCGCGTCATCTTCAACAGCCTTTAATAGTCCACTGCTGGACATAAGCCCCTCCTTAGAAAGGAGGTTTTTGCCTACTATACGACGCTGGCCAGACGGGTCGGTATAGGGTTTTTGTCAAGTTTTCCTTCTCTCTGCAGTGCTGTTGTTCTGCGTAGTTTTCTCCCTTAGTCGGCTCTTACGACACTCGTGGGATGAATAGGGGTGGTGACACTCTGTATTCTTAATCCGTCACCACACGGACGAAATGGCACCGCGTAACAGTGACTAATTAATGCAGATAAGCTATATTTTATTATTTTTAATTATCTGTCAAAAATATTAAATGAAAGATAGTAAGATTGTAACTGTATATTATCGTTGTTTAATTAATTTT